GTATGTGATTCTAATTTCGAAGTTGGAAAGAGTCCCTGGTAGGCGTTGACCTGCGTCTGCCTGAGTGAGGTTTGACATGGCGATGGCATCCTCGAGGCTGAGAGGAGCTAAAGCCAAACTTCAGAGCGTGGAACAGATCTGGGGTGAGTCGACAATGGACTTAAGCTGCCAAACTAAGGCTGAGAAAGAGAGGCTGGCAGTGGTGCCGAGTCCTGGCAGTGGGGGAGGTCTGTAGCTTTAAGAGGGGTTGGGGGCCTCCTGACTGAGAACACAGGGCCAATGCTCCATGGGCACCTTTACCCAGGCTTCCCCCTGCTCTCGAGGCACAACCTTGTCCTAAAGAGCAAGGTCCTCTCCTCTTTGCAATTGCCAGCCCATCCTTTCGCACCTTTGAACAGTTTTGTGGAGCCGGCACCACGAGCAAGTCTAACATATCAGGCGAAAGCCTGGAGATTTAAATAAAAGACGAGTCATCCGGCCATTTGTGCTAAGAGAAGGCGTGAGCCACCTTTATTGCAAGGAGGGAGCAGCCTCATATACAGACTTACAGCACAGTGGAGAAACCCCAGGTGTAATAGTCCGTGTTTTCTTCTTGCTAGATGTTGATGCCAGTGGGGCAAGGCCGGGCTGAAGCCAGGACTAGAGAACAGGATGCAGCTGTGGCTATCGGCTGACAAATGCACAGAGGTCCATGGGGGCCCAACACAGTTTCCTCTTTAACTGTTTATTTTGAGAGAGGGTCTTATGTGTCTTCAAACCTGTTTGGACCTCTTGCCTCTACCTCTAACTCCATGTCGGGATTAAGGTGTGGACCACTACACTAGGCTTATGCAGGGCTGGGGATTTGACCCAGGGTTTCAGGAATGCTAGGCAAGCAGTGTACCATCTGAGCGACATTCCTAGCTCTTTCTAAAGACTTGTGTGATTTTTCTTTATTTAATAATTTTGTCTAGAGTGTTCTGCCTGCATGTGTGCCTGCACGCCAGAAGAGGGTGCCAGATCTCATTACTGATGGTTCTGAGCCACCACGTGGTTGCTGGGAATTGAACTCAGGACCTCTGGAAGAGCACACAGTGCTCTTAACCTCTGAACCATCTTTCCAGCCCCTTATTTGACTTTTCTAACCCAAACTTCTTTCCTAGTTTGCTTCCCATGGAACTCACATCTGTACCACACATCTAGACACTGGGCTAGGATTAAAGCTGTTCAAGGATTATCGTGGGAACCTTCTAGCCCAGGGGTCTGTCGGCTAACCCAGACACAGGTTTTCTACATGCTAGCAGCATGTATCTGTTGTTCCCAGCACATCCTCCAACCCCTTGTGCTGAGATCAGCTCTGACTCTGGCTGTTCAGCTGTTTCTGCCTAGGGCTTCTCAGGTGTAAACCCTTTTGATCTTTAATTTGTGTGGTTCTGAATCCACATGGTGGATGACTGTTCAGTATGATTAAACCTCAAATTCTAAGAGTCATTGGAAAAAAATTTTTTGGAAGATTATTATTGGTTAATGTAGGCCATTTTGTTTGATGTCATCTGTTGACTCGTGTGCTCTGAGGCAAAGGTTAGATCCTCTGAGTTAACCATGGGTTCACTTCCAAAAAATCTATCCCCTTGAGAAGTTAGGGTCCTCACAAAGTCACCCAGTTCCTCTGTCCACGGCTTTCCATGGATGCTGGTTCTAACTCTTATCAGTTTCCAGAAATTCAACAGCTGAGAGTTTTCTGTAAGTGCAAACACAGACAAATCAAAGAAACTCATTAAGACACCTGGATAGGTGATAAATTCAGAGACGGAGGGAGGACTCCTGGGACAGGCTTTTGACAGAATGGTGATTGTGTTTCTTATAAATAAATACAACAACATTTGATGGCAGGTCGGGGAACACTTTGCCTCACCTCGATAGTAAAAGCACAGTCGTAGTTCTTGTTAAAATGAGATGAAGAAAGCAGGGTTGGAGAAGAGTGAGCAAAAAGAATACAGTGACCTCTGACTGCAGACTGGGAGGCCGGGCCGGCAACTAACTAACAGTAAGAATATTGAATGATGCATTCTAGCTACGTCCTACTTTTTTTTTTTTTTTAGAGAAATAGAATTCTTTTTCCTAGATTAGGGTGAGTATAGGAAATGACTTTCACAAAAGATTTGGATCATCAACTTCCATCTATGCTCTCAGGTGCAGGGTTCTCGAGTATGCGATGAAGAGAGGGAGGGGCAGAGGTAGGAATCTTCCATTTCAGGATTATTAAGTGGTGGGTTAAGACTGAGATCATGTTCTAGGTGACTGGAAATAAGAACTTCTAGAGTTGGGGTTAAATAAACAAAGCGAAGCAAAGAGTGGAGTTGAGCAGGGTGTGTCCTCCAATCAGCTGTCTTCAATCAGAGCAGCTTAGAGTTTTGGTGTGAAATCTGAGTTCTCTCTATAATCAGCAGTCTGTGTGAATTCAAGTAGAGCAGGAATTTCAATACTTGGCCAAAGAGAGAGTTAAGAGGATTATCCACCTCAGAATGTGAGAATGGAGGGTGCCTTGGAAGGATTTGTTTGTTTTGTGTAAGAGTGAGGTCCCCAGGAGATCACAGGGGACGGTTGTGGGGAGTCTCTCTGGGAGTTGCTTCTCTGGGATAGCATAGATCTGCAAGCTCAGGGTGTGATGTCTCCACAGCTTTATCCTGGAAAAATGAATCCAAGTGCTGAGATCTTAGTGGTGGTGGAGGCGGTGAGGAGGACCCTGTCAGGTCCTGGCCCACAGGCTGGTGGGTTCAAAGGTTGGGGTTTTGACTAGACTCACTCTTTGCACTGATTTTGAGAGGTATAATTCAGAGGGAGACTTTGGTAGGAGTTTATCTGCAGTTTAGTGAAATTCCAGGTGTGGGAGGAAGCCGAGATTTAATCATTTAGGATTGTAGAAAGCAGAAAAAAAATGTCTAAAGGGCTGTGTTAGGCAGTGTTTGATTGCTCTGAAGAGACACCATGTCCAATGCAACTCATAAAAGAAAGCATTTAACTGGGAGCTGGTGTACAGTTTCAAACACTTAGTCTACTTAATCATCATGGAGGGGAGCATGGCGGTATTCGTGCCATTAAACCAGTAGCTGAGAGCTACATCCTGATCTGTAGCTTGAGAGAGAGAACTGGGCCTAGCATAGGCTTTTGAAACCTCCAAGCTTACCCCTATTACACACTTCTTAGCAAGGCCCCACCTCCTAATCCTTCTCAAATATTGCCATCACCTGATGACTTAAGCATTCAACTATGAGGGCCTGTGGGGGCCTTTCTTATTCGACTGGGCCATTGTTGCAGGGGTTTTGACTACAATGGGACTCGAGGGAACAGGGTGTCTCTTCCTAGAATTCTCTGGTAGCCCCTCCTATACTTCCTGCCTGGCTATTGGCCAATCAACACTCATTCATCATCCAATAAGAGAAACATATGTTTGTTGTGCCCAAGTTGCAAAGTCCCCAGAGGCCACCAGGAAGACAGATCCACTAAACTGTAAAAGCAAGGTTTTAATTGTTCATCCACCCATGACGGGGCCCTGTCTAGCAAGCTGATGCAGCAGCCTCCAGAGGGACTGAAGTTCTGTCTACTGCTAGGTTTTAAAGGCAAAAGTTACAGGATTACATCAGTAGGTACGGGTTGGTTTCTGATTGGTTGACATTTGGGAACAATTAGGAGCATTTCTCAAAGTCATATTTTGGCATGAAATACCTGTGTACCAATTATTTTTATTGGTCAGTGCTGAGAGGGAACATTCTGTGGTTTCTGTGGTATTGTCTTGTTACTTGCAGGTGGCCTGTTTCACATAGACACCAATAGTTTCCAGAACTATATCCTGGAGACCACAGGGGAGGTTTTGATCTCCCCTGGAATTTCTTTTGTGGCCAAACAGTTCCTAGGAGCCAAGTATCTAGGAGGCTAGGGGGGTCTGGAGTTTCCTTGTGTCAGAGGCCTACATGTCTTTTCTGTCCTGTCATGGCTGCTAAAGCAGGGGACTGACTGGGGTGCTGGCCCCTTTATTTTTAAATTATTGGAAGTGAAGCCTTTGAGTTTAGTTTACCTTTCAATGTTACCCTTTAAATGTTCACAGCACACAGAAGGACTTCCCCATCACCAATCCTTAAGAGTGCTTTGTTTCAGGGTCTGGAGAGATGGCTCAGTGGTTAAGAGCACCGACTGTTCTTCCAGAGGTCCTGAGTTCAATTCCGGACACCCACATGGTGGCTCACAACCACCCTAAGTGAGATCTGGTGCCCTCTGCTGGCCTGAAGAAGATTGTATACATAATAAATAAATAAAATATTAAAAAAAAGAGTGCTTTGTTTCCGCAGTGAGACTCCTTGAACAAAATTAAGCTTCTATTTGCAAGTGGTTATCAAATAGACATAGCTTCTGAGTTAGGGATGGAGCAGGTGTCCACTTCTCTCAGCTCTAGGGGCCCCTCTGGTGTAGACCATGCTGGCCCTGTGCGCACCGCCTCAGTCTGAGTTCATATGTGTATAAATGTTTGCTGTTGACTCAAGGACATCGTTTTCTTGGTGTCCCCTTGGCCCTTATATTCCTCCCCTCTCCTTTTCCACAGCTTTCCCGGAGCCCTGAAGGGATTTGATGGAGATATCCTGAGTGTCCGAAGGCCTCTCACCCTCCGTGTATTGTCTGGCTGTGGTGGTTGTGCCCAAATCCTGAACCCCCAAATCACCAAGAGATCCATTCTGAAGCAAAAGCAAAGAGTCTCTTATTGTTGTTGAAGGAGCTAACTGCATTAGCTCGGGCCTTTCCTCTGTTCAATACGATGGATGGCGGGAGAAGGACCCAGGGGAGCCTCGAGGTGGGGAAGTTATTGGGCAGCAGAAGGGGAGGGTCTAGGGTTACGTAACAGTCTCGGGATTGGTGAGCGTCTGGGCTTGGGCCACCTGTCTTGTGTTGATTGGTCAATGGTTGTTATGGCCCGTAGGCCCTCCCAGGGCGGTCGCTATGCTCTGCACGTCACTGTTGTGCCACTTGTACCTTAAAGCACATCCAGAGTCCCCCCAGCTAACCTCTGATTGGCTCCTTGCCACGTGGAGGGTATCCGAGCTCCTAGTGACCAGGGCAGACCCAGCAAGGTCAGACATGTGCTGAGTCAGAGGCCTGCCTGTCTTTTCTGCAGCCTGTCATGGCTGGTAAAGAGGGGTGGGGGTGGGGGCTGGTCCCTTCGTGGTCTCTGTGTGTTTGCCCATCTGCTGCAGAAGGAAGCTTCTCTGACAATGGCTCAGCAAGGCACTGATCTGCTTCCCTGGCTGGGGTGTCATTTTAACCCTTCATCTTTCTCTTCGCCCCAGCCTTTGCTTCCTCACCGACAACACGTGTGATGTTTCAATTTTCCTCACTCTCTGCAGAGAGCTGTCTCCTGCCAACGTCAATCTGGTTGGCTTGGGTTTGTGTCGTTAATTTTCCAAGATGACTCTTTTTTAACGTCGTTCGTCCTCTCCATCTTGAATGATGACTAAAGTCTGGACTCTACCCTCCTGGTAGTGTGGATGGCTCCACCGTCATCCTGTACCATTTTAGGTAAGAACTCGGGGCCATTGTCAGATTATAGAGTGGCAGCAAACCTCAAGCTGGGTATTATTTCTTTTTATTAAGATGGGAGTTACTGCCCAGCGGCAATGGCACTTGGACGACCCACCCCATGTTGATTGGTCAATGGTTGTTATGGCCCATAGGCCCTCCCAGGGCGGTTGCTATGCTGTGTGCATCACTGTAGTGCACTTGTTAGTAAAGCATAGCCCCGCCAGCTAACTTCTGATTGGTTCCTTGCTATGAGGAAGTCCCGCCAGCTAACTTCTGATTGGTTCCTTGCTATGAGGAAGTCCCGCCAGCTAACTTCTGATTGGTTCCTTGCTATGAGGAAGTCATCTGACCTCCTAGTGACCAGGAGGGGCAAGGTCATGTTAGCCTGTCGTGGCTGCTATAGTGGGGGTGAGGGTGGGGGGACGGGAGAAGGGGGTGGGGGTGGTCCCTTCAACAGGAGTTTGTTGTGGAATAATCTTTTTGTACACTGTGAAGACGTGTCACTCTGACTGGTTTAATAAAAAGATGAATGGCCAATAGTGAGGCAGGATCACTGGGCACAGAGGACCCTGGGGAGAAGAAAACATGCCAGGAGTCACGGAGGAAGCAGGGTGGGTAGTATAATAAAGCCAAAGTAAGTTAATAGAATGGGTTAATTTAAGTTATAAGAACGGTTAGGAAAAAGCTTAAGCTAAGGCCTAGCTTTCATAATAATGCACGTCTCCATGCCATTTTTTGTTTTGTGAGCTGGTGTAGTGACCAGTCCCCCATTTTAGCAGCCATTACAGGCTAACATGTGCTTGCATGACCTTGTCGCCCCTGTCCTGGTCATTAGAAGGTCAGATGCCTTCCTCACGGCAAGGAACCAATCAGAAGTTAGCTGGCGGGGCTGTGCTTTACGACTCTGGGTGTGCTTTACAGACAGTGCACAATTGTGATGCGCAGAGCATAGCAACCACCCTGGGAGGACCTATGGGCCATAACAACCAGTTGACCAATCAACACAGGGCAGGTCACCCAAACCTGGAAGCACACCAATCCTGAGACTGTTTCATACCCCTAGACACTTCCCTTACGCTGCCCTTTAAGATCCCTGCCTCGAGGTTGCTTGGGGTCTTTCTCCAGCCATTCGCCATGGTGGTGGGGTGAAGGGCCCGAGCTAATCGGGTTAGCTCGTTAAACATCTACAATAAAAGACACTTTGCTTTTGCATCGAAATGGGCCTCTTGGTTATTTTGGGGTTCAGAATTTGGGCACAACTCTGGAAGCCTAAACATGAGTTCTTGGGAGCCAGGGTTACCTGATGTGGGTTCTTGGACTGAAACCCAGGTCCTCTGCAAGAGCAGTGAATGTTCTTAACTGCTGAGCTGTCTCCAGCATCGTATTTGACCTTTTTAGTAGGTGTCACATGGGCAAAGTCTATCTGCAAGTCTTTCCAGGAACTACTGCTTTTTCTTGGAAGGTTGGAAAGAGCAGTGTCATAACTTATCCTCAGGAAGGACTTTTGGCAGAAACTCAGTACACAGACCAGGCTGGCCTGGCACTCACAGAGATTCACCATGCCTGTGTCATGGCTACTGGCATAAAATACTTTTTTTTCCCCTAAAAAAAACAAACAATTTTATTATTGTTCTTATTTTAACTTTTTAAAAACATTTAATTAAAATATAGTTACATCATTTTTCCTGTCCTATATCCTCCCTTCAGTTTCTTTGATAGCCTCTTTCTTCCCCCTGATTATTAGTCATGTATATCTATATGTATATGCATGCATTTGTATAAATACAACTTGTTGAGTTCATTTTTGTTGTTTGTATGCATATGGTTTCCGGGCTGAGCACTTTGTATTGGACAACCAGTTAGGGCCTCCTCCCTGGGAAAGGCTACCTCTTCCTCTCTCATAATCATTAGCTGCCTGGGGATCCTTCTCTGGAGTGTGACCCTCCTGAGGTTTTCTTCCTTCTGAATTAGTATGCCTGTTGACATTGCCATTACTTAGATGTCGTTTATGTAGGAAAATTAAATTCTTATATGCGTAGGTGAGTGTCTGTGTTCGGGTTTGCATATAAATGAGTACAGTGACTCTGAAGCCAGAGAAGGGGTTGTGTTCCCTGGAACTGATGTTATAGGCTGTTGTAAACGGCTTCAGATGGGTGTCACGGACAAAACTCAGGTTGTCTGCAAAAGCAGTGTGCTTCCTTAACTACTGAGCCATCTCTCCAGACCTGTGAAAATAATTTTGGTTCTGAGGCCAGAAGGCATGTCCCACTTCCTGCCTGGTTCTGCTCCTGGCAGGGGTCTTTTCTGGCTGGCATAAATAACTGCAGCTGAGTGCAAACTGCTTTTAGATTTCTGCTTTGTCTGCAGAGAGCCATGCTACTCAGTAAAGAAATGTTTGGCTGAATCTGACGTCCTCATCTAGCCTTTCTCCTCCAGCTTGAAAGCTGAGAGCATCACAGAAGACCAGAGGTGGCGCACACCTTTAATCCCAGCACTGTGAGTTCTAGGCCAGCCTGATCTACAGAGTGAGTTCCAGGCCAGCCGGGACTACACAGTGAGACCCTGTCTTGAAAAACAACAACAACAACAAAAAGACTAGGGTATTTTTAAAAATTTCTTATTAATTTTATTTTACGTGTATGAGTATTTTGTCTGCCAAGCTTAGACAGTAAAGGAAAAAGCTGGTCAAGATGTAATTGAGTGAGGCAGGATGTTCCAGCCCCAGTAAGCTGAAGAACTTGGTGGCTTTGGCCACGTGGTTCTGGAGTTAAGGATAAAAGAAATGTGATGGGGGATGTCTTTCTGTATGCTGTAAATATATGTTTCTCTTATTGGTTGATGAATAAATGCTGATTGGCCAGTACCCAAGCAGGAAGAATAGGCGGGGCTACCAGACTAGGAGAAAGCAGGTCAGAGAGAGACACCATGTAGCTACCGGGAATATAGGATGCTGGGTATTTTCTGGTAATCCAAGACCATGTGGAGATACACAGATTAATGGAAATGGGTTAACAGTTAAGAGAGAGCTAGCCAATAAGAGGCCTGGGGGTGCTGGATGCATGACTGTTGAAAATGGTCTCCAAAGGGAGTAGCCAAGCATCTGTGAGGGCAGACATCAGATAGACTGGACAGCATGGCATGGAACAATGCTACGGCCATCTCAGGAATAAAGAGCACGGACGAGGGATTTTACCCACCAGAGCTGCCAGGATTGTCACACTATTCGTGAAGTAAAAAGTCTGAAGGCTGGGACCAGATACAAACTGAGGGCTCTATGTAGATATATCAAGTATATTTTTATCACGTGAAGACTCACAAATGAATAGATACTCATAGAGTAAAAGAATACACATTTGTATCTGGGGCAGATAGCCCCTGGGGGGACACCCTATTGTGTGTTACATGTGCTTATCAGAGGGGAAAGCAGAAAAAAGAACATTGGCAGTGAGGAAGTAGATTTAACCAGTGTGTGTGTGTGTGTGTGCGCGTGTGCGTGTGTGTGTGTGCGCGCGTATGATGTGTGTGGTGTGTGTGTGTGTATGTGATATGTGGTGTGTGTGTATGATGTGTGGTGTGTGTGTGTATGTGATATGTGGTGTGTGTGTGTATGTGATATGTGGTGTGTGTGTGTGTGTGGTGTTTGTGTGTGTGGTGTGTGTGTATGTGGGGTGTGTGTATGTGGGGTGTGTGTGTGGGGTGTGTGTATGTGGGATGTGTGTGTGTGTGTGTGTGGTGTGTGTGTATGTGGGATGTGTGTGTGTATGTGGGATGTGTGTGTGTGTGTGTGGTGTGTGTGTATGTGGGGTGTGTGTGTATGTGGTGTGTGTGTGTGTGGTGTGTGTGTATGTGGGGTGTGTGTATGTGTATGTGGTGTGTGTGTATGTGGGATGTGTGTGTGTGTGTGGTGTGTGTGTGTGTGTGAGCTCACTCACAAGAGTATGTACAAGAACAAAGGGAAAGTGAGGGACCAGCAAGAGGGGACCATGCTGTATGTAGACTATGAAAATTTCAGGAAGATCCAGAGTCAAAAAAATGTTTTGATGGCTCCTTTAACATAGAAAGTCATCCTGTGGCTTGTGTCTTATTGTCCTATGTCTTTTCCCCAGAGCAGGACAAACCGGCTCTTTTAAAATTGTAGCATGATGAGAAAGAGAGAGACCTATGGTATCTAGGGAAGATTCCAGAACGGTCTTTATTGTCCGGTCCCTTCACGGCTGGTGATTTTATGACAGGGTGGTTTTGAACCACGTCCTGGCCTGGGGGAAGTGAGCACTAGCCCTAGCTCTGGGGCTGCCATTGCAAAGGAGCGACACGCAAGGGCTCTGTAAGCTAGTCATGGAAATGTCCCCTCTGTAAGCTAGTCATGGAAATGTCCCCTCTGTAAGCTAGTCATGGAAAGGTCCCCTCTGTAAGCTAGTCATGGAAATGTCCCCTCTGTAAGCTAGTCATGGAAATGTCCCCTCTGTAAGCTAGTCATGGAAATGTCCCCTCTGTAAGCTAGTCATGGAAAGGTCCCCTCTGTAAGCTAGTCATGGAAAGGTCCCCTCTGTAAGCTAGCCATGGAAAGGTCCCCTCTGGTAACTTCAAATTTGTCTGTGAAATGGGCAGCCCACGGCTCTGCAGGAGCAGGGAGCAGAAGACAAGGGTAAAGGTAGGAGCAAGATTCAGTGTAGGGAGGGAGGGAGCTGGTTAACGCAGAGAGGTTTTGATGAAGGTGTGTGAAGCAGGGAGCTATATGGGCTTGGTTCTCTGGCATGTCCCAAGTGCAGAAAAAATTGTGTCACTTAAAAAATCTATATGCAGGCATTGGAGACATGGTTCAGCAATTAGGAGAGCTTGCTGCTCTTCCAGAGGACCCAAGGTCGGTTCCCAGCACCTGACTCAGGCGGCTCACAGCTGCCTGTAACTCCAGCTCTAGGGGAGCCAACACCTGCTTCTGGCTTCTGCTAGAACCTGCACAATGTGGCATATAGGCACACAGACACATAAATAGAAAA